CAGCTGCCCACCATTGATCAACTGATTGGTGAAACCAGGTAACAGCTCAAACCCTGTATGGGGAGCAAAGGGAGGGGAGCTACCAAGCATATCCCAAGTTCATCTTTGAAAGAGGTGACATTTCGTAGCACTTTCACTGTCTTTGTAATGCCACAATAGCTTGAACAACTGTACACGTGCTTCTTGTAACATTACAAAGATGCATCTATCACTACAGTTGTAATGCCAGTTCATGGTTTAAGACATGTTTATGTTGCAGAGCTGCTTGGGTTTCTTGTCAGTGGTAAAAATGTCGAAGGCTTTATTGACCTTGTGAGGCTAAACTTGTTAGTATCTTTTTTCCCTTCCGTGCCAGGACACGCACTGTATCGTTAAAGTAATTCCTATAAACAAAGGTCCCCTCTAAAATAGTGCTTTTGGGCACAGTATAATGTCATGAGGATTGTCTGGGGATCTCACAACCGCTTACTTCATCTGTGAAAAAAGCAGGACACATTTTGGTCCTGTTCTTCTATTTTCAAAACATTGTTTATGCAAATATTGCAAACCCCGCTCCTCCCGGTGAAATAAATATGTATCCCAAACAACAGGTAGGGGAACAGCAGATCATATAGGTTGTTATTTGTTTGACTTGCACAAGAGGCTATGAGATTTATTAGCTTATTTATAGGATTGAAAAATTAGTCTCTGTTCTGCAGTTGGCTTGCTGTTTAACTTTGGGCGAGTACCTTGACCTCTATGATCTTCCTCATGCCTGCCTCTTCTTTCTTGCTTTTCTAGTCCTTGTCTACCTAGTTCCAATCTCCTTTCCTTCGGGCTTTCCATTCCATTCTTTGCCTAGTCAGTTCCCAATCCAGGGCCCCTAACATCTTGTCTGATCTGTCACCTTTCCCTAGTTTCCTTTCTCTTCCCTCCTCACCTTCTCCTGATTTCTAATATCCTCCTCTGGGTTCTTAATCCAATGTGCCCCCACCTCCCTCCAGCAGGTATCAGTCCCAGTTTCTGTCCAACTAATTGTACCTGATTTGTCATTAGATATGACTCCATTCCCTGTAGCCCTCTCCTTTTTGACTGACTTACTATCTTCCCTTCCTCCTTTAACCTCTCCCCACATTATTAGCCTCCAGTCAGAGGTGCCTCTCCCTTGCCTTGCTTTGTTTCAGTCTACCCCTCCACTCTAGTATGGCAATTGACTCCTGTGCATTCAGAACAAGCATCTTCCTCCTGATTGAATGGGTCTTGAGAGCAAAGGAGAGAGAGGCTCCCTATTGCCAGTTCCAGGGTCAAACCCTGGACAAGCCTCTCCTGCAACAACAGCTCTGAGCAGAAATTGTAGGGATGGTCCCAGTCAGTTCCTGGTTTGGAGCATGCCTTGTATTGCTAGAATTGTTGGGGATTTTAAATCCCTAGCTCAGGGTCGCATTCAGGGTCACATGAACTGGCACAGGTCATGGGTTGCATGCAGCCACCAAAGGGTTAAGCTGCAGCCCAGGGCTCCCAGTCCAGGTGCTGCTTCCCCTACCACTCCAGCTGGCACCAGCCAGTCTTCAGAGCTCCCTCTCCCTCTTCCAGCTTCCCCTGCCTGTTTCTCCCTCCCCCTTTCTCTGCCCTGCAGAGGTGGGGCAACACAGTTGAGGAAGTCCACATACAGAGGACCCAGGGACTAACATGAAGTGGGACCACCAACACACTGCAGCAACAGAGGAAAATGTGGTACAGTGTGTAAGCAGCAGGGGCACTGGCACAGTGTAGTTGGGGGTGCCTACCACATGGTATGGCAGAGGATTACCCGTACAGAGCACAGTGCGGCCCAAGAGCCATGCAGCAAGTGCCTGCACAGGCCACTCATGTTGGACAGCCCTGACCTAGCTAGTCATCCTCTGTTGAGCAGATGCGAATAAAGGTAGTTTTTCAAAGACTTACAACGTGGGCAGATTTTTACAGGGATGAGACATAGGCGACTGCCCTGCCAAATTTCAGATCTCTCCTTCAAAGTGTGGGAATGCTAGAGGTTCTGTTAAACTCACCAACATTTTTTAACGTGAACAAAAAATTTTCCCTTATCCTCTTTGTCAGCAAGGACTGAACTATTTTGGCTGAAACATTAAGGAAATCAGACTGCAGCATGCACCTGGGATGCCAAACAATTAAAGTTTGTCAAAACTTAAGCTACTAAAACACTGTCATGTGATGGGAGGTCCTAATAATGAGTGAGGTTTTCTAATTTGAATTAATCTGTCTCATAAGTCTTTTTATCTTAACTTTACTTTTATAATTTGAGTAATCATAAATATATCATTCATTGCATAGAAATATAAAGATGTAAAGCTTGCACTGAAAACTTACAAAATCTGAAACAGAAAATAAAATTGCAAATTGATACATACAAGGTGCATGGAATACATTGCCAGGAGATTTAGAATATTAATCAATGCATTTTTTGTTGTCAGATTAAAATATTTTAAAGTGCCATTTATTCTTCACTCTTCTTGTCTGAACTGTTCAGATGTGGAATACACACTGCATGACTTCTGTTCTTCAGTAAGCCAGTCTGATACATGTGCTTAAGAGTTTAGATAATAGATAGCTTTACATTTTCTGATGGCTATCTTGAGTAATTTTATACAAAATGTGTATACAAGAGCTATACATTAATTAAAAAAAACTAAGCTATTTTTCAAGTACTTTTTTATCCAGTATGATTGCTGCTTGTTTGAAAGAGCATGAATTTAAATTCTTTCTGACATTTTGGGTGAAACCCGAAGGTCTGATTTACTCATTGACTTAACACTATACTGCTCAGATGTTATGCTGGGATATTTTTCCATGACATCTCTTCAATGATTCCTTCTTTAGGCTGGGAATAATTCCAGTGTTTTAAAAATATGAAACCTAACTGGTGAGCAGAAGCCAAGTATCAAATTTCCATCTGTTTTTCCTTCTAGATTTGTGTGTTTGTGTGTGTGTTTAACTATTTTCACAGAATTTAAGAAAGCTCTTTAGACAGAACAGTTGAGATACATCACATTGGTTTTAAATAAAGTTGCTGGATCTAGATTATTTTATAGAACTTTTTTCTTTCTCTCTTTCTTCCTTTCTCCTTGTAACATTTAGTTGGTAAGTATAACTTCAGAGTTGTTGCTTCATACACATACTAACCCATCACTCTCTTAACCTGTAGCATGAACAGCAGTTGCATATTGAAATTCTAAATTCTGTCTGGTCTACCTCACCTGTTAATGCCCTTCAGTCTTTGCCGTTCGTGTCTCATATCTGACACCTGTTATCTTTTATCTTTCTTCCCCCTTCCTCACTTCTGTCCACTTCTCCTTCCTCATCACTTCATTCTCAACAAAGAAAGAAATGCTGTGATATTTCTTCTCCTTCCAAAACCTCCACTAGAAAGCATTGGCCACATCAAGGTAAAGGGCAAAGGCTTGAAACGGAAGGTCTTTCACGCTAGCTGTGAATGGTATGCTGTGCAAAAGAACAATGATTATTTTCTGTTCTCTAACCTCCACCATTTGAAATGCTTTTATTCCTTGTAAAATTAGAACAAGATAAAATTTCAGAAAAGGAAGAAGGTGCATGGTTTCCCACTTGCCTTTCTGGAAGGCTCAGAGAGTCAGGCATTATCATGCTTTCCCAGATTGTTTGGCAATGTGGTACCTAGTTTGTGAACTAAATTACTGTCACCTGCTGGGGAACATGTAACAGTGTATTTATCCTCCCCTATCATTTAGGTGGGTTGCTTCAGTTCAAACAAAAGGGAAAGAATTGTACAGTCTTTGGAGTAGGCAGGTGCCGGCCCACAGACATAGAATGTCTAAGTAATTAAACCATTTGGTCTCTAATAGTACGTGTGAGATGCACTGCTAAACTTCTGATGATCCATGACTCACTAACCCTTTTAGGGTATCCTTCAAAGTAAATGGTATTCAGAGACTTTTAAATATGTAATGAAATTATTTCATGAATGAAATTTGTGCTGAAGATTGGTAGTTTAGGTTTTGATATATCGTTATTTTAGGGAAGACCCCATGCTAGCATGGTATGGAAGAAATACAGTGTGACATTCTGCCCCTACTGAAGTCATTGAAAGGGCTACCTTTGACTTCAGTAGGGCCATGATTTCATCCATAATTTGTATAGGCCGTAGTGATCTGTAAAGGTCAATATACCAAGCTCTGTAATTAAAATAGGTGACAGCAAACTAGTTGTGTGTATCTGCTGTAAATGTGCAAAGGAGAGTATTTTTGGGCACAGAGAGAATTAGAACATAATTTTGATTTTATACTTGCTCCTTTTCCTTTGGCTTCTTTTTATGGGAAAGGATTTGGTATGTTTTTCCTAATGAGTTCCAAGACAGAAACTCAGGACCCGCTGCAGAGCAGCTTTGAACGCTCATGTAATGGATCGCATGTTGTAACCCCAAATTCATCTTGTTCCTTTTACAAAGAAAATGAAACACCTAGTTTGTCTAATTAATGTAATCTGTTCAAGCTTCTGCCTTGTGGGCCCTGTAAGCCCCTGTAAGCATTTGCCTTCTGGAGCTTTGGCTAAGTATTAGATGCTATCCCTGGGGGCCCTCCATTGCCCTTTCCCACTCCACCTTTTCAGTTGCACGTCTAGATCCCTCCCTGCATGCTCACCATGCTGTTAACCCTCCATGTTCTTACCACAGACTGAACTCTAGTCGTAGTTTGAATAACTCTCTCCATCCCCACTCAGAAACTTCAGGTATATTAGTCCTCATGGCTAATAGAATAGTATTATACAAGCTTGTAGTTTAGAAAGTTTTTAGTTTTCACCTCTAAAGGTGGATTTGTATCTGTTGCTGCCTCCATGTGTAACAAAGTCTCCCACAGTCAATAACGGGCTGGCATATGCTGTGGGTTGGTAGCAACACAAAAGTTCCCATCTGTTCCCCTGTGTATAGATTCCCTTGCTACGAGCAAGGCAGCTGTACTAACAAGCTTGGTTCTTGCTGTCCCCTTCAGGCTCTTGCCCAGAGACCCAGCTGGGCGAAACTCCAGCAGCAGCAACGGCTCAGGTGGACGGGACCGACTTAGCCTCTCCAATGTCTCCTCGGACTAGCAAGAGCCGAATGTCCATGAAACTACGCCGCTCCTCTGGCTCAGCCAACAAGTCCTAAGTGTTTAGAACCTGCAACTTTCTAATAAACAATTAGCAACAGCCCCTCATAGGCTGACCCACAACTATCAGTTAAAGAAAAATGTCCCTGATGTGCATGTCCTGTCCCCAGCATAGCCCTTTCCTGTACATTTATTTTAGACAGTGACACTGGAATTTTATTTGTATCTTAATATTTTAGCTTTCGTTATTTTTTTTATCAAATTCCAGGCTGCCATATTTTTTTTGAGTGCAGTTTCTTTTCTGCACCTTTTACCTTCCAGGATGAAAAGATATCTAAAGTAGCCACTTTTAATGCTGTGGTTAACCTCAAGCCATACACGGAACTGGAGACTGCAGTCTTATACACTATATTTATTGTGTCCCATCGCAATTTTCTCTGTAACAAAGAAATAAATATGTACAATTTGAAAATGAATGTACAATTTTAAATTGAAGATGCATTTGTAAAGTCCTCGTCAAAGGTCATATGTTAATGCACATGATGTGTACAGATTTATTTATGTTATAAGAATGAAATACTTAAAGTAAATGGTCTTTTAGCATTTCAGAGTCCAAACAAAACATAACTTGCTATCAGCACCAACTCTTCCTTCACAATGCAATATATTATTTCATAACTGTGCAGGTGATGCCATAAAGTATACCGGAAATAAGAAAAATCACTGTGCTGAAATTCTGATTATGCTTGGCTTCCAAATATTTTTCTAATGTGGTATCAGTAGTAAATGCTCTTTTGCTCTGAGTATGTAGCCTTTTATCATCAGGCTGCTGGATCTAGATGTATATTATTCTTACATAAAGAAGCACTTTTCCAATGTAAATTCATTGCTCCAATGCTGTGTACTGTGGAAGAAAAGGGAACACGCTGTAGGAGTCCGACCTGAAATGCTGATGACCCTGACTTTGTGAGCGCAGGTTAGTGCACACATTCCACCCACCAAGAGGTATTTTCCTATAGAAGATGAAATGCTTACATTTTAAGTCGGGCATATTCTGCTATGACAAAACGTAGCATGGCATCTGTACTAACTGCATGTGTAAATATATCATACGGGCAACAATAGAAATATAAATTATGTATTGTCATTCATGTAGTATCCACAGATTTGTAATGGTTAAAGAGAAGACATGCTATTTAATAATACAATAAAATTATTCTTACCACCTTCTGTATATTATTCATTGCACCTCAGAGATTAGGCTCTGACTTATTCCATTGAGTAAAAGAATAGTTTGGTCCATAATCTTTATTAGATGTGGAGGAGTTGGGAGGTTTCCGGATCAGATGGTGCCATTTAGTTCTCATTCTTTAGTTAACGTTGATGTATGTTATTCGACCACTTCTACTTCTCACCCCAAGCCTTGGAGGGCTTCTAATAAAAGCCTTACTGAAAACGTTTTTCCTGGGACCTGTAGGCTCATCATACTTTTAGAGCCGTTGGGATAATGCAGAGCCCTAGAACATCCTGCCCGGCAGATGTTCCCTGATGCCGTGCTGGTTTATTTGGTTCTAGCCTGTCTTGCCTTCCTCGTGTTTGACTGTAGGAAGAGTTAAGACAAGGAGAGGGCGCAATGCGCTCTTGCTTCTCCATGGGAGAACTTATTTTCAAGAACTGAGTTTTGCCTTAAACATCAGGTGTGGGCTTTTAATAAACCTTCCTTGGACACTGGATTAGGAGCCCCTTTGGCTTCTCCACAGCTGGCTGCAAAGGTGCACACACTGGAATAACAGCGCTCCATGGTAAGGCACTGGGGAGCCATCCCTTTCACTTGGGCCTGGGTTTTGCCTGAGGATGGGACTCCTCCGGCTGCAGCTTCCAGCTGCTTTATAGCTAGGCTTCTCCTGGGCCTAGGGCTAAAGCAAAGAGACCTGCAGCTTGTGCGTCATCTTTGTACTAGCTGCCCAATGCCTCCACCTTGCTCTGCTAGGGTTTAACGAGGGGCTGGGCTGCCCAACACACTTGTGCTAAGGGACGGCCACTGCCCTGGCCATTAGTTTCCTCACTTCTAGCTATTGCCATGCGAGACACGAGCAATCCCAGCATCCTAAAGCTCTGTCAAGCCGCAGCTCTTTGTACCGCGAGCAGGAGAAGCCGTATCTAGCGCAGCGGGCGGGGAAGCTGCAGCCGGCTCTGAGGTGGGGGTGGGGGGGCTGTCACCTGCTGCGGGGCGCGGGATGCGCACCGTTCAACGCCGAGACGCGGCAGCGGGGCCCGCCGGCTCCCGCGGTCTCGCTTCCCCGCAGCCCGCCGCCCT